TTCAAGAACAGCTCTTATCCGAGCTATGGCTTGCCCAAGGTCATCCAGCCAGGTGCAAGTGGAGGAGTGGGGAATCAAACCCGGTTCTCCCAGATTAGAGTCCGCGCACTTAACCACTACACCAAACTGGCTCTCACTGTGTAATACTGCTACCGTTATGTAATGCTACTCTTATCAGTACGAGCATTTTATAATCAATTTGTTTTATCATTCCTTTAGAATTGCTGTTTTATGTGTTTTGACCCTCGTGTAAGCCGCCCTGAGCCTGCTTTGGCGGAAAGGGCAGGGTAAAAATTGAATAAATACAATAAATAAATATCTGACCTCAAGGGTACTTGTTCTTACAGCAACCCCCCTCCCTCCCTCTTCTGTCCCAGCTCCAGATGGTCCACGAAGGGAAGATGCATGGGTTTCTACGGATGTACTGGGCCAAGAAGATCCTGGAGTGGACCAGCTCCCCTGAAGAGGCCTTGAAATTCAGCATCTATCTCAACGATCGCTACGAGTTGGATGGCAGGGACCCCAACGGCTATGTGGGTCAGTGCAAGAAGAGAAGAACATAAGAGAAGCCCTGTTGGATCAGGCCAGTGTCACGCAGTGGCTAAGCCCCAGTTGCCATCAGGAGGTCCACAGGAAATTCCCTGTTGTTGGCCACTGTGGGAGACAGGATGCTGGAGTAGATGGACCCTCCCTGGTCTGATCCAGCAGGGCTCTTCTGATGTTCTTATGAAGGCCTCGGCCGTTATGCCCTGTTGTTGGCCCTCCAGAGGAACTGGCTGGCCCCTGTGTGAGACAGGATGCTGGACTGGATGGACCCACATTGGTCTGACCCAGCAGCGCTCTTCTGATGTTCTTTTGAAGGCCGCGGCCTCTGTGCCCTGTTGTTGGCCCTCCAGACGAACTGGTCGGCCACTGTGTGAGACAGGATACTGGACTAGATGGGCCACTGGTCTGACCCAGCAGGGTTCTTCTGGTGTTCTTATGAACCTGTTGTTGGCCCTCCAGAGGAATTGGATGGACCCTGCGTGAGACAGGATGCTGGACTAGACGGATCCTCACTGGTCTGATCCAGCAGGGCTCTCCTGATGTTCTTATGAAGGCCTCGGCCTCTGTGCCCTGTTGTTGGCCCTCCAGAGGAACTGGTTGGCCACTGTGTGAGGCAGGATGATGGATTAGATGGACCCTCACTGGTCTGATCCAGCAGGGCTCTTCTGATGTTCTTATGAAGGCCTCAGCCCCTCTGCCCTGTGGTTGGCCCTCCAGAGGAACTGGTTGGCCACTGTGTGAGACAGGATGCTGAGCTAGATGGACCACTCGTCTGATGTTCTTAATGTTTCAGCAGTAGATGTAAGAGCAGTGTTTCTTATTTTC